TCAAATTTTAAATTATGACGTAACTAAGATGATGTGTTTTGTTAATGCTAATGAGCCTAAATCTCAATCTTTTAATTATTATTAGTTGGGAAGTCGACAAATGATTTAATATTATTACTTATTAAGCGCCTTCAATTAATTTCTTAATTATTACTTTTGAGAACAAAGTATTTCCCATTTCTGTTTAGGGAATATTATTGGCATTATGCCAACATTGAAGGTTTTCCCGCTTTATCTAACTCGTGGTCAGAGTCTAATATTTTCATAAATATTTTGATAGTGCATTTTATGGAGATCAACCACAATGAACTAAGAAAGAAAGTAAAGAATTCTAAAAATAAACACCTAGTTTGAACCCTTATGAAATATCTCAAGCTCTAGAGGATGATACTTTATAATGCGGTTTGCATATTGTCGAACAAATCTCTCGACATTAGGGAGACAAATTAAGAAGCTGAAAATAATGTACAAATGCATCATTCAATTATCTAGATCCTCACAAAAGAAAATTTGAACCAGAAGTTTAAAAGATAATTTTTTAAATGATTTTGCTAATCAAAGAGATCAATAATATATTTCACACCAACTTTAAATGTCATAACTCAAATTAACGTCCTGAGAGAAAACATTGTTAACATTATATCCGATATATGTATGGCACGCTTGAAGCATAAATACAATCAATTTGAGACAAAAAAAAATCATAAAAAAAAAGAAAAAGAAAAGAAAGAAAGAAGCATATAAGGAAGATGGTCTCATTTAGGAGGTGTATGCTTTTAAATAATATATATACATAACTAATTATAAAATCTCAGAAGAGATTTAAGTACTTGAAACACTGAAAGTAGAGATATTCAATAAGTTACGAGATTATGGAAAAGGAAGAATTGTAAAGAAAAGAAAGTTTTCGACAACACTTTTGTACATGGTGTACTGCTTCATATTATAAAAGATGAGAATATCAAAATAAATTCATCAAATCATTTCGATAGAAGAAATGATTGACCAAATAAATGGACGCAAATATAGCAAATTGAATTTACTGAATATACCTGAAATTTTTGGATCTACAGTCCAAACACCAAAATGTGTATATTTATGTGGAAAAAAAAAAGAAAAAGAAAAAGCCATGATATGTAATTTGCAACTCTCAGCGTATTGATTTCATAAAGACCTGTATAAATAGATAAATTAACTTGTGATAGATGCAATCACAAATATCTATTTGCTAGCCTGACAATGCATGAAATTTTTATGAATGTAATAAATGCAGTTATAGTCAACTTACCATGTATGATTTTAATACTATCCTTTAAGGATTCATGCCCGAAACATATAATTTAAGTGATATTATCATGAGAATAACTGAATAAGCATTGTACTCTTATTCCCTTGACTAAGATTTTGTCTCGTTGGATTTTTTGGCAAGGCTTTTACTGAGATAACTTTTGTAGCGTACTAAAAAGAATAATGAATTCTTTTTCCTTAATTAGGACTTTCCCACAGAATTTTTTCTAATAAAATTTTAACAAAGCATATTATTTGTGTAATGATGTCCATAACCTACAAGATATTTTTCTTCAAAATAATACTCTTATATGTTACAAAGAGTGTACAATTTCTGAAGAGAGCAACAACAAAATCTATTCTTCAACATAATATCATGTGACTAAATACAAAAAAGGATCGATAAATATCATCTATGAAGACAATATTGCTTAAAGGCCATAACAAGGTAACACGAAACATGCTTCACCAGAATTGCAATATTGAAAATATTGACATACAAGACATGAATGGCTCAATAGAAGAATCTTCATTTATTGAAATCAAGGGGAGCAGATGTACTTTTTTTCGTGGCTCAAGTTTTATCTCATTGAGTTTTCTTGATAATGTTTTAATGAGAAAGATATTTCATAATGTGTCATTCAAGGATGAGTGTTCTAAATAATAAATATTAATGAATGCCAATTATATCCCTGTAGTTTTAGATATTATTACCATGGTATCCTTGTAGCCCTAATTCTTCCTATAAATATGGGACTTTGGTTCTCAATGAAATACATATAAATTTATTGACTTCTCTACTTTCTTCTCCTCTCTCTAGTCTATAACAATAACTAGGAGTTATTAATATAAACTTTAGTATTAATATAATATATTTCCTTAAATATAACTCTTCCAAACATAATTTCATTTGCATTTAGTTAGTCTTAGTATAATAACTAGTATTTATTAATTTAAAATCACCAAAACATCAATTGTGTGTATCTCATTATTGTCTAATCCACGTGAAAACAATACTCGTACTCATTTTACACTATTAGTTGTCAAGGATATTCGATTTTAACAAATGGAGACAACAAAGTACTCATATAATGACTCGAAGTCTGAAAATGTTTGGAATTATTAAAGATGGCAGTGGGTCAAGTTCGAGGTGTGGTGCAAGGGCTTGCCCTGTTTGCTGCCCCATTTTTTTACATTTTAAAAATCTCGAGTTATGCTATTATTAGAGAATAAAATATAAATTCAAAACTTTAAAATCCAAAGCAAATAATGCTCAAAGTAACAACACCAATATCCAAGATTCCAAAGTAAACAATTGAAACAAACAATGTCCAAAAATAAACAATTGCAAATAGAATTACATTGTAACTAAATTTCATTTCTTTATTTGAAATTTGATATTTTTCCATCTTCATAACTTCATTCATCAGCAGAGTTAAAGATTACATAAGATGAATCCTAAAAAATGAAAGAAATAGTATACTCAATATCATCATAATAACTATGATCAAAATTTACAATATCTAATAAATAAAATTACCTCCTTATCAACATCCCCATCATTCATCTTGGAGCAACATTCAAAATATGTAGATGGTGCAGAATTCATTATTAATAAAGCAAAATAAATAGCAATAAGAGAATTCGTAAAAGGAACAATATGAAAAGCAAATGTTTTTATACATCGTACCATGAATATCGGCTCATAACCAATCTTGAATACACATTAAAGCCTTCAAAGTTTGGGGTAAAGCTTATTTCTGTTTGAACTAACAAATCTACCACTAGTACTAAAAGTAGATTCGGACACCGCTGTAGATATCAGGATGGCCAAAATATCTTTTGCAATTTGAGATAAAGTCAGATATTTGATTTCATTTACTTTCCACCATGTCAATATATCAAAATCATCCGATCGAGGCAATATAGGCTCACCTAAGAAAGTATCAAGCTCGGTTTTCACATTGCTAGAAACTCCAACATTGGAAACAAATCTGTAAAAACCCGCCATTCGATCTAATTTATTATTAGCACTTGATGTATCAGTTTGATAATAAGAAGTAGAAGACTGAGCTACAAACCCATTCGAATCATTCCTTTTCTGATAATCGTGCACCAACTTGCCAAATCCCAATCACCATCACCAGGCAAACATTTATAATGTAACTCCCTCTGTTTCAAACTAGGAAAAACATTCTTATAAATCAAAGCAGTACGAAGCATCAAGTATGTGAAATTCCACCTTATTTTACAATCAAGCACCAAATTTTTCTCAAAATCAATTTTCAATTGATGCAAAAAGAGCTCAATTTCTTTAGATCTCTTTGGCGTGGTTGTCCAAGAAGCAAGATTATCACGGATTTTCTCAACACTATCACCAATAATCTCCAGCCCATCATTCATTATAATATTTAATATATGTGCACAATACCTCATATGGAAAAATTTACCATTCAATACAAGAGAATGAGTATAAAGCTGACTTAATACAATATTGATCATATCATCATTTGTGGTGCAATTATCTACAGTCAAAGTTAGTAACTTACGATCAATATTCCAGTCCAGTAACTTACATGATAGAGTTTCTGAAAGCATGTCAATAGTGTGTGGACACGGCACATAAATAAACTCGAGTTCATTCAAGAACAAATTAAATCTACTAAAAGAATATAATTTTGATAAATTATAAAAACAAGTGAATGTAATTTTTTACTATACCGCATCATTCGACTCTGTAGTTTCCAAGCATCATCTATGAAATGAGCAGTGATAACCATGAATTCTTTATTTTGATTAGAAGAGGTCCACATGTCGGTAGTAATCGAAATTCAACTCGCATTCTTCTCAAGTGCAATCATATTTTTTGCTTTCTCATATTCATAGATCTTCAAAATGTTGCTCTTCAAAGTGTTGCGAGAATGAACCTTAAAAAATGGTTGCAAGTCATGCAAGAACTCTCGAAATGCAATGTGATCAACCATGGACAAAGAATACTCATGCAAAATCACCATTTTCGCGAGACTATACCTATACTTATCAAGTATCCATTGTGACCTTGCTACTCACAGCATCCTTCTTGAAATTTAATGTTGCTTGGAAAGTACCATCTTGATGACGGAATACACTTCTCTTCAAATGATCATGCAAATGCTTTGTACCACCCCTAACTGTTTCTTGCAATGATTGCATTGGTAAGGTCAGATCATATGTCACCCCTCTAAGTTTTTACAATCATGCTACATGTCACTTTTTAGATCATATTTTACATTGTGCCACTTGGCAATACATTATTGAATAGTTCAAAAAATAAACAATTTTTTCCCGAATCAAATCATGCCAATTTGGATAATGTCAAAAGTGACGTACAATTGGCTTAACTCAAGTTTTTATTGTGACATCCTTTCAATATTAATAAATACTCTGCCTGTAAGCTTCTTTGAAATCGAAGGCTCAACGTAATTAAAATTGTTAAAGGGTGTGCGTTTCTATAAGTGAAAGAGAGGCGGTGGGGTTGCTAACTGCTTCCCAGCAGACAAAACAGACAATTCTATAAAACACGGGTTGACACATGCAGATTACAGATAACAATAGATACAGCCAGAAGACCTGTCAGATTGCCTCTACACCAATCATTTCATCCCTTCATTTGCAACTTCACCCTATTTTAACCTCAAGAAATTTCAGTTTTAACAATTCCCATCATTTTTAGCTATTTCTATTTAACATCCATAGACGCAATGGGATTGAAGCTTTTTATCATAATCTTGTTTTTCACTAGTGCGAATTCTCGAACGCATTTGAATAGTCTCAAGATTGCTGAAGAAGGTTACTTGGATTGGATAAGACGAATGAGTTTTCGTAACCACTCCCATTTCGAAGAAGCAAAGAACAAATTTGTTCCTTGCAAAATCATTAAGGTCCATAAAAATCCGAAATACGGAGATTTTACTTCAATGCAGAAGGCTATAAATTCAATCCCAGTCGTAAATCTGTGTCGGGTGGTTATTTCTGTTAGTGCAGGTACTTACAAGTAAGTTATCTTTCAACCTTACTTCAATGTAGATTCATTTTTAAAGTGTTTATGTGAAGAAATTCCGATTATTTTGGTATTAAAAAACTTGTTTAAATACTGACACGACTAGTTTAAACTGTATGGAAAAATTAATGTAGGGAAAAGATAGAAATTCCTGCAACAATGGCTTATGTGACGTTCGAAGGAGCTGGTTCAGACAAAACGATCATTCAATGGGATGACACTGCCGATCGTAAAGGGCCAAAAGGACAGCCAATGGGCACTTACGGTTCTGCCACATTCGCTATCAATGCTCCATACTTTGTCGCAAAAAACATCGCCTTCAAGGTCAGTGCAAGAAGGGTTATTTCTCTTTACACCCGTTCGTGAATCATGGTCTTACGAGAGATATAAAGCTAAAATGAATAGAAAAAAAAATGTGAATATACGTTAACAAGTGAAGGTGGCATCGACTGTGAGCCTTTAGTTTTACCAACGTCAGAATCATCTCGNAAAAAAAAATGTGAATATACGTTAACAAGTGAAGGTGGCATCGACTGTGAGCCTTTAGTTTTACCAACGTCAGAATCATCTCGTTCTTTAATCAAGTTAACAAAACTAAGTCAATTTTAGACATATAGAGGCTTTTATTCAAAAGAATGATGCAGCTGAACAATTGTTTGGAAGAGGGATGAGTAGGATAAACTAACATCGACGTCTACGATTGTTAAAGATATAGTTGCTTTGACTTAAGAAGAAGACAGTCAATATTACAATATTTAGTGCTACGAGATTCATTTGAACAGTCCAAAACACTAATTTTGTTCTTTCATGAACCAATAATTACCACAATTGTTCCACTTATCTGACAGAATAAAGCCCCGCCACCGCCAGCAGGAGTGACCGGGAAGCAGGCAGTGGCAGTTCGGATATCAGCCGACATGGCGGCTTTCATAAATTGTAAGTTTGTGGGAACACAAGACACCCTTTATGACCACAAAGGCAGACACTACTTCAAAAACTGCTACATTCAAGGTTCTGTAGATTTCATATTTGGGGATGGACTCTCACTCTATGAAGGATGTCGTTTGCATGCCAAAACAAACAAATATGGGGCCTTGACAGCCCAAAAGAGGGAGAGTATGCTTGAGGAAACTGGCTTCTCTTTTGTGAATTGCAAAGTCACAGGGTCTGGTGCCCTCTACTTGGGCAGGGCTTGGGGCACTTTTTCAAGAGTAGTCTTTGCTTATACATTCATGGATAAAATCATTACACCAAAAGGCTGGTATAATTGGGGAGATAAGAAGAGAGAAATGTAAGTACAACACTTAAAAGAGCCAAAACATTTATTTATTTAAATCCAAGTATGGAAAGGATTAACATTTTCCTTTTTTCATTTGAAGGACTGTATTCTATGGACAATTCAAGTGTTCAGGACCAGGGGCTGATCATACAGGCAGGGTGTCATGGGCAAGAGAGCTCACTCAACAAGAGGCTCAGCCATTTATTTCACTTAGCTTCATTGATGGACATAAATGGCTAAAAAATATATGATAACTTTCATCATAGAGCTACACAAATCCAAAAATGAAAAGCGGGTTATTAAGAAAATTTCAGTCGCTTTCATCTTTTTGTGATTTTCCATTCACTGGTTAACTGGGTATTCAGTGTCCCATTTTGTCCCAATCCCCATTCACCAGTACACTTACAGCTTACAAAAGGAATTGCAATGTTGTTACATACTTGCATATCGAAGAAAAGAAAAACCGTAAATTAGTACTATTTTATCAGAAGAGAGACCACATCAAGCATCGAACTAGCTAAAGGTACTTACGAAAATAACCTTTCAACCAAAGAAAGCAAAGATGACATTTCAAACCAGAGCATGCTGTATCATGCTGCTGCCAAAGAAGGCGAAATTAGATCATCCCAAGTTTAATATTGTTTATAATATATTAGCAAATAAACACAACTCTTGTAGAATCATGAAAATAACAAGCAACAGCCTTCGTGGTAACAAAGGCTAACACAATAGTATCTGGGCTTCCCAGTGTCAGCGTTAAAAAGTAGAACATTGTTTATTGTTGCAGAGATCGTTTGCCTTTTGTTCATAATATGAAACAACTCCCAAAAATGCTTTTAATCATCTCATTTAAGTATGACAATGAAGATACCATCTACCATCTGGAAGTAAGTATTGGATACCTGCCCATAGAATAATATTTACAAGCCTTGAGTGAAGTAATTATAGAAGTAATCACCACTGAGAGTTGTTCGTGGGCGAGTATGAATTACCATTTGGTCCACCTGTTAAACTCACAAGGTCAATCCCTCACAATTTAACTACAGGAACCCCATGGACACAGCACAAATAGACAGCATCCCTAGTGAATGTTCCAGAAGCTTGTAAACAAAGACAGCGAAAGTGATACTTGTTTTTGATGAATTCCACAAGGGCATCCCAGTTCACTCCACACATCCTAGATAAAAATGGAAACAAAAGAAATTTATACCGAATCATCAGCATAGAATCATCATAAGGTCTAAAAGAGAATTTTAAATTGAAGGTGCAAATATATTGAAAGTCAATTAGAGCGTAACAAACAACTGCAAACAAACTCAAGATTTCTAGAGGAACCAC